AGAACACTGTGCCTTCATGTAAACGGGTCAAAGATGAAAAGAGGTTTTCAAGCATCAAAACATTCAACACTCAAAACATCCTTTTTTTTTTCTAAGAAATCAACATGTCATTGTGCATTTTTGCCAAAATTCTCAGAAGACTCAAATTAAAATGTCATTCAGTGTAGCAATATATTAGACGTATTCAAAACATGAATCATTTGAGGACATATTAAAAGACCAGAAATTAATTTAGACTTAAGACCATAAGGATTTACCTATTTGTCAGAATTAGATTATTAGCCATTTAAAATAGGATAGAATTTAGTATGATCACTTACTCATTCGTAAACTAATTTTTAAAAGCACAGGTAAGAATAAACTTTTTTTTTTTTACATAAAAAAGCTGAAGCTGAAGGACAATGAACATTATTCTGGGTTCAACACTAAGGATTTTTTGTACAGGCCCCATCAGGCCAGTGGTTCAGATTTTAACGTCTGTCAATCTGGAATTTAAATATTTATAAAATGTGAATGTATAATGAGCTAAATTTAAAGTGTTACGCAAACAAAAAGAGCAGTATGGAAAACGTGCTGCTATTTTATTGCTGTTCTTAATTATTTAACAAAAGGTGGCTGACAAGCCCAACTGACGCCAAACACCACTTGATTTTTTTTGTACCCATTTTTTTGTACCCATGTAAATGTCTGCTTTCAAGACGTTAGAAACAGATGTTTTCTTTTAGCCTTAAAATTTGATGTTACCATCTCATCGCTGTACTGGTTATTACCAGGTTATGGAAAAAATAACGTGCTCACAACATCCAATCAGATAAGAGGAACTGAAAAGCAATATGATGTTAATGACATCATAAAAAGGGTAGCATTAACTGCACAAACTGTTCCTCGATTTTAAGAGTGTATTTGCACACAATTGATAGATAGTCACAGGCAAACCAAACTTTAGTGACAAGGCAGCACTGGCCCAATGGAGCCAGTAACAATCCTGTAGACTGTCCCAAGCGTCTCTCACACTGGCCCTGGGCCATCGGGTAGTCCTCATTGTTAAGCCCTATTATTCCACCGATATGCCGGTATTTTTATATTTGTATAAAATTACTTCATAAAAATGTATTTGTAATTTAAATTACTTTATAAAAAATATATAATTGGACCAAAACATTTGTTTGATTTAATTTTAAAAACTAAAATTAAAAAACAAATTACATTCGGAAGAAAAAACAGTGAATCTCAAAGAAGCTTAAACTCACTGTGTTTATAACAACAAAAATACAAGCAATTAATGACCATATACATTTTTTTTATTATATTTATAATGATAATATTACTTGAATTAAAATGTGTAATGAATTATCACACACTTTGACAATAAACAAATTTATATTGATTCATTCATTTTCCTTCAGCTTAGTTCTCTATTTCAGAGGTCGCCACAGCGGAATACGTAGCGGATGCCCTTAAAGCCGCAACCCAGTATTGGGAAACACCAATACACCCTCACATTCACACACACACACACACACACACATGCAATTCAGCCAAATTAATTTATTAAATTTATCTATACCACATGTCTTTGGACTGTGGGGGAAACGGGAACACCCAAAGAAAACCCACACCAATATGGGGAGAACATGCAAACTCCACACAGAAACGCCAACCTGCCCAGCCGGGACTAAACCAGCGACCTTCCAGGTGTGAGGGGACAGTGCTAACCACTAAGCCAGTCTGAAAATGATCCATATAAATTGATCATATTTAGGAATTTGTTGTTTAATATTTCTTTATGTCATTGTTTACTGCACTTACTAACGTTTCAGAATCAGAAAACTGGGGGGGAAAGCCTTGACAGCATCTAAAAAAACATTTTGAAAGCACCAGATTGCTGTGCAACACAAACTTTTAGAATGTGCCACAGTTAAAATGCATGGCCACAACAAATGGACAACTGCCACTGATTACATTACACAGCTCTCATAGGACAAGTGCTTCCATCCAGTGCTTTATTATTTCATCTCCTGTGCATTCAGTGAATTTATGCATAGACATTTTTGTAATGAATCACACAGCCCCATTTCCCTGCTATCTTCACCGTGATCTTAAACAGTCTTTTTGTTGTTTCAGTCTTTGCTGTGAAAAATCAATAAAATAGGCTGTTTCTGAAAAGCATAGCTAATGCAATAAACCCCAACAACAGAGCAAAATGGCTCTAAATGGATCATAATGAGAAAAGCAACACGGGGCTCTCAATTACCCAAATATCAACATATCTAAAAGCCTGAGAGATAAAGAAAAACTCTCTGAAATTGGTGACTGACGGGTTCCTTTCTGCCAAAGTTAACATCCCACCCTTTGACCCAAATGGCTCAAGATGATTACAGAGGAAAAGACCTGTCAATATTGCTTTAAAAACTGCAGGAAATTGGCTCGTCTGCTGTGAGAAAGGAAGAGAGCCAATGAAATAAAAATAAAAAAAACTGTACAAAGCATTCAGAAAGAGAGAGCTGGAAATGATTTTGAATATTTCCACACCTGAACGTGTTCTCAATCACAGGACTCCAATAACAGAGATATTTAATACTACAGATGTGGACATTTGCCTTATTTGAAGTGGACTAGAAAAAGAAAGGCAGGGTGGAACTGCCCTTGGGTTAGGATTTGAAAGGCTTCGAGATCGAATGGTATCAATTTCATCACTTAATCCAAGACAAATCAAAGCAAGCCCATGGATTTATTTGATTTTTGCAGCTAAATTAAATGCATACTTGTTATTAAGACTGCATTTAGGTGTATAAGTAACTGTTGCAAAGTTAAACAAAAATGAAAGCACCTTGACTACGACTAAAATTTTTAAATGAAGCTTCTCTGACAGAACTTGCACTGAATAATAAATGCCGAGTTATGATTAATAACTGTCTATGCTGACAGATCTTCCCCACAAATCTCTCCTCATGAAAATTAATTAAGCAAACGAGTGGTTTCAAAGTGCACAATGCTTTGCTTGCAAACACTGTGAGGTTTGAAGGTCACGTCAAAGTGAATTTTGCTAATTATTATAATTTTTTTTGTTTATTTTAAATAAAACAAGTGCTTCTAAACCTGAATGGTGGTTTTCACATTAGGGATAAGATTACATTAAATGTTTTTGCTTTATTAATACAATATTAATAAAGGATTGTGGGGAAAAAAACTAAATCAAAAGGAATTGGATGTTAAAAAGTGTTCCAAAATATATTTATGATTGGAAGCCTTTTGTAGATGAAGTTCAGCAATTTAATATGGCTTCAGGCACTCCTGCTTAAAGGAATAGGTCATTCAAAATTCTGTCATCATTTACTTAAAGGGCCAGAAACCCCCCTATCCCAGCAGGGTGTTTTCACACCACTAGTTTGAAAAAAGTCCAGTTTGTTTAGGTGGAAGTGTCGAGTGGCAAAAGAGGGAAGGGTTTGTATGAGAATGGGAGTTTCAGTACGAGCATGCGTTGATTTTCACAAAGGCAAAACAAACACAAAGGCAGGGGAGAAAGACAGTGACTACGTTTAATTGAACATCAGTAATCAAATTATTTGCCAAATTTTTGATTTGTCAACTTTAACTGCAGTTTGACACTTTCAATTTCATTTAGGAACATTTCATGCATGACCCCCATGACAAACAAGATATTGGATGCGAGAAACTGCTGGAAGAGTGTAGTTTTAAGGGAATGTTTGATACTGCATGCCGTATGGGAGAAAAAAAAAACCTCCACATTTCTTAGTAACTTAGATGCATTCGATGAGTGCAAAGAATAGTTTCAGAAAGTTGTGTCTATAGACTATCATGTCAAAAAAGAGCAAAAATCCTACAAGCAAATAATCGTTTGTTTGCCGTGTTTACATGTTTATATTCAGAGAGCAGCATTTACAGCGAATCTTTCAGCCCATAATATTGTAGTGATAATAACATACTGTAAACTCAGTAACTAAATAATTTAGACTAATGTAGGTCTTTAAAAACTGAAAGAGTACTGCTGACAATACCAACTTTGCCTCTGAATAAACATAAACAAAAAACACTGATCGCACACTTACAAAATCTGACAGGACAATCAACACTAACTGGATCCAAGTCTCTTTTGAAAAGAGAAATCTGGATTTCATTATTTCCAGATTCAAAAAGCTCTTGGATGAAAAAACATTCTGTGCAACATATTTTTGCTGCACGTTAGCAGACCATTGTAATCTACACATGAGTCCAGCTGCGCTCTCATAGCAGGGAATTGAAAACAAAACCTTTGTTGCAGCACATTTACAAATGCAACACTGACGACCATGTCTCCGAACAATTCTTCTTCCACTTGTTTTAATAACAATTGGCAACACAACGTGGTGTCTTCCTAATGTCTGAACATTGTAACAGGGATCATGCATATTAATGAAGTTGCACCTCATAGAGCTGATTTACTCGAACCAAGTATATATCTTGGATTATTGATTAAAAACTCAAAGATGTCAGGTTGTACCCGCTATTACAGACATCCAGTCTCCACACTGGAATTTACACAAGGATCTTATCGCCGTGACGTAGCTTCCAAATTACTTTGCACACTGAAAGAACGAATTTGCTTGAAATAATGCAAAGACAACCAATTTTCACTTTTTTGTGAAATATGTGTGTCCTAACAGTTTTTTTAGCAGTGTGGGTCAAATATATGACTGTAAGCATCTTACAAAATGCGTTTTGGTGTTTTGTAACCCCTTAAAATGCCAATTCAAAACATTTCTCACAGTTATTTTTCATTCAATGGAAGTTGAATATCACCAAAGTGATTTAGTTACTGATTTTCATCAAAAATTCTTTGCTGTCATCTTCCAAAGAAAAAGTAATTTAAGCTTGAACAACACAACATTGTGTATGTGACAGAATTTTAAACGTGTGGGTTCGCTATTCCTTCAAGCACCGAATAGCTAAAATTACTTCAAATAGTAGGGTGGAAACGGTTTGCTTTTAAGCAGAAGTACCTGCTGACTGACACTTCACTGATGGCAGGGCTTGATGATCTTGGTGGAAGCTCAATTACAGTGTCTTCACTCTTCACCTTCAGTGATGTGGAAATGGGAAGGGAACTGTTCTGAATGCTGTAGTTTACACCTGTTATAAAAAAAAGACAGCTATGTATACACTACAAATCGATTATTGGGACAATCAACTGTTTTTCAGCCTGTAAGAAAATGTAATTTAAGACTGTGGATGTATCAGACCATAAATGACGTGTTTTTGGTAAATACAGTGTAACGTTTCTGGAAAAGAAAGTGAGATTAAGGGTATTGTTGTAGTATTGATCATCACCACCCTGCGGAAATCCATTTCTACACATAATCACTTCAGGAGAATTGACAATTTCGAAATCAATTGCAAATAAACCGTCTGTGTCGCCGCTGACTGATAAAGGGATAACAAATCCAGACAGCCAAGTCGTACATTTCTACACCTCAAACTGCGTATTGACTCTGAAGTCTACCTATAGAGCCATTAATGCTTTGATGATAACAGCATGTGGCTGGAGCTTTATCATCAGAGCAGGCAGTCGGGTCTACAGGCTCTTGTTTACTTCGAATGTCAAGGTGTCAAACAAAAGTACTCAAGTTTCAAACAGTGCGTATGTATGTGAATAAAATGGTTTATGGAACACTGTCAGAAAATCCACCTCATTTTTCACAAAAGAGGACAAATCTGCACGCATGCGGCACTGTCAGCATTAATTCACAGGAATAGTAGGAGGTAAGAGAACTGTTAAGTTAAGGAGACTGTATCGATTCAAGACGCTCAATGTCAGTCTATAGGTGATATACTGCTTGCAACAGGAGTGATTTGAGTGTTATCAATGTTTAAGGCAAACCAAACATTCACAATTTTACCCTGCAAAATGTTCACTCGGTATGCCATGTAAACAGTAAATAGTGAAAAGCTATTTCGCTCTTTTGCACATCCATGTAGTCTTTAGAAATCTTTAAGCCTCATTATAATTATAATTACACAATTGTTTTCCTGATTATGGCATACTTTTCTAGATGTAGTGTATCATGGGGATTCGTAAATGACAAATAGCAGTCCGGAATGCAACCTGTATTTAATTTGTGAATACATCCTTCGGTATATCAAATCAATCTATGCATTTATTAGAATGACATCTCATTTATTATTACAAACATATTTAGTTTTTTTAAGGATAATTAGGGTAGTGTGACCTACAGTAACCTCCGAAGTTACTGTAGGTCAAGCTATACAAACTATACAGCTAATTTTACTTGACCTTTATGTATATAGGTCATATATGTAGATAGGTCAATGCCCCCAAACCCCACCTGCAATTTGCATCCTGTCTTACACCTTTTTCAAAGTCTAATTTAAGCACTTTTTGCAGATGCATTTTTCAACTTTACCATCATTTGAAAGTGTGGCAAATAACATACATATAAATTATTTTAATTTCGAAGAGCACAGATTAAAAAAAGACAAACAGATCCCGTGCAAGCACTTGCAAAGACTCAAGAGTTTTCATTTTATGCAATAGCGAAGACATTTATTTAATTTGAATAGTATATATTTCAAATCATTATCATTGCCTATATAGTATGATCAATTACTATGAAAACTACACAATTACATACTGAAGCAGTTTAGCAAAAACTTTAAGCACTTTTCAAACCTTGAAAACACTAGATTATAATTTAAACATTTTCAAGGATTTTCAGCAGTTGTAAGAGCCCTGTGAGAGTACTGGAATTACCATGTAAGCTAACAAATTGTTCATTATGTTCTCGTTTAAATTGCAGTGCTGGTAAATTTATAGAAAAGTACACTACCTGACAAAAGTTTTGTGAACAACAAATAATAACTTGACTTCTGGTTGATCATTTGATATCAGAAGTGGCTTATGTGAAAGGTAAAGGCCTCTAGATTTATCTTATTTTACCAAAAATATATATATAATCATGCCTTGATTTTTAATTATTTAATTAGGGCTGTAAAGGTCTGACTTTGCTTAGACAAAAATCTTGTCACTGAACAGAAATAAAGTACAGCATAGAATATAAAGTCCAGCTGCGGTGGGAAAATAATTAATATGGTGTATATTGTGCTCACTCCCATGAGCTGGGGCGACTGCATCCATACATCTCTGCAATGACTCAAATAACCTATTAATAAAGTCATTTGAAATGGCAAAGAAAGCATTCTTGCAGGATTCCCAGAGTTCATCAAGATTCTTTGGATTAATCTTCAATGCCTCCTCCATCTTACCCCAGACATGCTCAAATGTTCATGTCTGGTGAATGGGCAGGCCAATCCTGGGGCACCTTGACCTTCTTTGATTTTAGGAACATTGATGTGGAGGCTGAAGTATGAGAAGGAGCGCTATCCTGCGGAAGAATTTGCCCTCTCCTGTGGTTTGTAATGTAATGGACAGCACAGATGTCTTGATACCTCAGGATGTTGATGTTGCCATCCACTCTGCAGATCCTCGCATGCCACCATACTGAATGTAACTACAAACCATGATTTTCCTTCACCTAACTTGACTGATTTCAGTAAGAATCTTGGGTCCATTTGGGTTCCAGTAGGTCTTCTGCAGTATTTGTGATGATTTGGGATGATTTGGGATCCAAATGATCAACTAGAAGTCGAAGTATTATTTGTTGCTCTCACAACTAGGATAGACGACAATACTTTTGTCAGGTAGTGCATCTTTGAAGGTATAAGACTGTCTACTGCATGCTTATAACTGTTGCTGGGAAAGCGCCTCCTGCAGCTACAAAAGCACCTCTTGCTGGCACAGAGTGAATCTACTTATCTACAGTTTTTATGTACAGAAAACACACACACGTATGAAGATTAGTGCGGTTTGTGGGGAAACACTCAATAAAAAAATTACAGAGACTTTTGTAAATTATGCGCCACATCGATGACAATTTAAGTATTTAATGAATAGCTGTGTATTGATGAGTAAACAATACTAAATTACTCAGTAAATGCAAACATATCTCAGATGTGAGGTTTTCTAATAAATTCATTGCTGATCAATGATTAAATCTTCAGTTTGGCAGTTTACAACCTGTTTTGAATTTGGAAATGTGGCAAATATTAGTTAAACTATGATCTTTTATCCTGTCTGGTGATTTTATCTAATTTAGGATCATTTCCCGGGAAAAGAAATGAAACTTAATGAAAGTAAAAAATAAACTAAATAAGTATTTTTACAAACATTTTCACTGCTTAATAGCATATTTATGTTAAAGATTTACTGCTATTATCTGATATTTATTTGATTTCCAAAATTATTTACCTTATACAGTGATTTACATAAACTTTGTAACATAATACAAGGGTTAATTAAGGTTCAATGATGGAGAATCTGGAGCAAAGAAGTCTTGAGTAACATGTTTAAGTGGATCTGTTGAGATACAAAAGACAACACACCTTTAGAGTCTGTCTCCTCTGTTGAATTTCCCTCTTCTTGTTTCACCTGTGCTTTCTTAGTCTCCAGACGACCTTTGACCTGGGCAATTAGACGGGAAAACTCACTACTGTGCTGCTTACCTAGAAAGAAAAACATAAAAAAAGAGAAGTTCAGTGTGTTCAGTTGTGTTTCATCCATAATAAATGAAGTATACTAAATATAATAAATAAACGGTTATTTTATAGCAGACCTCATGCCTCAAAGAACGTCTCAGGAGGTGGAGCACATTATAAGATTTTGATGAAGAATTAATTAGAATTTTTAGCTACAATGTGCGCTGATGAGTGATAAGAAGAAAGTGCATTCAGAATCCAAATAGGCTCAATTAAAAGTTCAAGCTCCCTTGTTTATTATTTAACCTTCATTTAAGCAAAACAAACGTCACTATTTAGTACTTGATCCAAACTAGTTAATTATTACATAACATCAAAATAAATGAATAAAATAAAGGAAAATCTGAATGCATCTTGTACTGAGAAATGAACCATTAATCTTAAGCTTTCTCTTTTAATGGAGGATGAATCCTGCAATGGAAAAAAACAACAGTAACTCTGAAAGCGCTGGAATGAGGCAGACCATGATAAATGTAGTGGCGAAAACCAACAGAAGCAGATGAAAGGTCATACAGCCTGCTTTTAAAATCACATCAGCCAAAAGGCCCAAGAAGAGATCAGCTGAAATAATGATGACTGAAACTGAGAACTGAAGGAGAAAAGATCCAGAGATATAAAACAGCTCACTATCACAAAAGCAAAGTGACTTTAACAATCAGCAGACCCTGACGTGCATCTGTGTCGGACTCCGAAAGAGTATTTGATTTCTGTTTCTATTCCAAGTATATATTCGATATAACTGAACAGGTTTAGGGTTACACTGATCATATCTGCATTTTTATCCATGCCACATTTGAATAAGATGCTGTGAAATTAGGAGAAATACCTTATACAGGGTTTCTGCAGGTTTCACCAACTCAAATTTAAGACTTTAAGACCTTTTTTAAGGCCATCAAGAATTAGTATTTAGACTTATCTAGGACTAAATGCTAAGGATTCTTTTAATGGCCCAGGAGAAAAAAAAAAATTGGCTTTCTCTATAAAGGTACGCATTTTATATTGGTTTTTCTTAGCCACATATTTTAAATAATGTGTCAAATCAAGCAGACCCTAGCTGTATATATGCAAATGTTTTCAACGTGACTTAAAACCTCTTTAAAACTTTATTAGACTAAATGTATGCTCAACAGACTTTAATAATATTAGTTATAAATAGTATTTTGCTTAAAGTGTTATTGAGATCTATTGTTGGCGATTGGAAGCATTTGGATCAATTGGGTCGCTTTATATAGACTCATTTACAGGAACCATTTAAATGGTTTAAGACCTACAAAACAATGTTTCAGTGGATTCTCAAGACTTCTAAAAACTTTAAGGCCTAAAATTTTGTATTTGAAAATTAAGACATCCTATAGAGCCCCTATTATGAGTTTTTGAAAATGACATTCTATGCAGTAACACAGCTCTAAGTGAAGTGAAATATCCAGCTAAGGCTTAAATCTGAAAGTGCACCATGTTTAAATCTACTGATTCATCTATAAAAGAGTCGACTCATAGTGGTTTGAATGAATCGCCACTGTAACGAGTCTTTAGCCATGTCGATGTGACATCAATATGGGGATAACGCAAGCCCCACTTATTTGTTGCAGACGCAAAACCCAGGAAAATGTAAACCCCCAGCCCCGCCCACAAACACTGTAGAAAGAAAAGGAGAAAGACACTGTAGCATATCCCGGTTGAATCATGTTGTGAAGACGCTGTGCTCAGAATTGTGAGGAAAAGTGTTATTTTCTCCACCCAAAAATAAGGCTGCAAAGAGTCAGTGGTTGAAGTGACCTACCTGCATTAGGCTCACGCATTCGATCTGCACTCTGACTACTTGTTGATAAGCCTTGCTGAACATTTCTCTCTGTCTTGCTCTGAACGCAGTCGACCAATCACAACAGACTGGGTCATCGGATCAATCAGTGCATATTAGCATCGCACTAAGGAGGGGTTTGGGAACAAACGAATCATAGGACAGTCGTTGGGATACGCAAGTAAAATTAAATGCATATTATAAGACAATGAATGCTTTTTTTTACCTTGCATGCATATCAGACTTTTTAGAGACCCCCAAAACCAAAATATGACCCTTTTTAATGCATAATTAAGCCTATTAAGACCCCACAGACACCCTGTTGTAGGACATGAGGTGAAAAAAAAAATAACAAATGAAGAAAGAAAGTTCATAAAAATATATTAAGGTGTAGAGAAAATGTTGTTATATTTGTTTTTAGCCCAGTAAGAATCTTTTCCACATACAATAAACATGCATAACCTTGAGGCTTCATTTTTAGCCATTAAGGCTGCACACTGACCAACATTACTCAAACATTGTTATCTTAACTCAACTGCACAGTTGTTACTCAATGAAAACACTGGAATGCGTGGTTCTAATCTCAACTGTACGTGGTGTGCATTAGTCATGGGCTTTGTGACAAGTTATCCTGATATTGGTTCTCATACTTCACACTGCATCAGCTGAAAGTCCATTTTGGCAACTCCATTAGAAACCCCATTCAGTGCCATTTTTCAAAAAACCCTGCTAGTTTATAAGAAATGCTAAGTAAGGAAAAACTGTATGTCAGGAACAATCACTTGTTGACTGTGGTCAATGGTTAGAGCAATTACTTAATACTTTAAAGCATCAGAAACAGAAAAGTGCAACCCAAGAGGTTTTTACACAAACCAAAAACCACCAACAAAAGAGAGGGGGCGAGGGGTTAAAAACAAAAACAAAAATCTATGTTGTGTTATACTTAAAGGGTCAAATTACAAATTGAAAATAATTAATTTATTACTGCAAATTATTGAAAAAGGATTTCGGTACTGGAACTAAAATAGTAAACAGAAAAAAAGAAAACTAAAATTCCAGCCTCTTATTTATAACCATTGCATGTTTTAAACTGTTCTGCACATTGTGCATCCTGTATTTTTAACATATACACCTCTATAACAATGTAGCCTGTAATCCTGTTGATTAAATTTGATTGAAGTTTCACTGCAATTTTCTTTACAGATTTAATAAATATATTTATTACATATAAAATAATAAATGAATATTTTCTCAATTCAAATGAGTAGCGGCTTGGATCCGGAAACAGTATTACATGTGTCACCGATACATCACGACTTAACAATCGTATAAGATGCAGATTACAAAAACTGAAGCCATACCACATTGAGAAATGCTGGGTTCCACACAAATCCTTTTTGTCCTAAAACAAATCAAACTTATCTTAGTCGTTTTTACTAATTTAAGTGAATTGAACATATAGCAAGTCTGACGAAAAAAAAAAGGAATAGTGTCGTTTCAACTCATTTTAAATAAACAGTTTAAACAAGAAGTCACTTTGAGTGCACCGTTCAACTCTATCTGATCAGCGTCTCTTCATGTACAAGACACTCTGACACTGAAGAAAGAAGAAACAATGTTATATACTGTGAAAATGTTAACATCAAAAGTTGTTCAATATATTCATTTTTGCTATAGTCCATCAAGTATAGTTATAAGTAGAGCTACTATAGCTGAAAAAAGTCCTGTAGAAGTAGTTTACAGATAAAAAACACAGTTTGCTCATAACACTACAAAGTTTTCAACCAGAAAAACACATATGCCAGAAAATAGCTTTATCCTACAGTTTCCTCAGATGCAACAATCAGATATCAGACGTTTAAAGTTTTGTTTTGGATTTCATGTCAGCTCTCAACTGGTTTTCCTAATTGGTCATAGTCTATACTGAAATATGAACAAGATTTGACAGAACTATAAACCAAAAGAATGTTACAGGAATTTTACAACAATTACGAAGAAGCATGCGATGAAGCGTTACAAGACAAGAAATGTCTAAATATTCCAGTTCTTACTCAGATCATATTGCATCATGCTCAGTGTTATGTTTCTTTGTGGAAGACAGTGGACAAAAAAAATTAACAATCAGGATCAAATCTCATATAGGCCACTTATCTGATAAGCTCTTAAATTAATCTGTATAACCATATTTTAACAAACACAATGATAAAGAAAAAGGGGTTTTCAAGATGTAATGCCTTCCAGAACACAAATCTATAAACAGTATTATAGAACGCAGACTAAACTGAGGCTGTGGATCAGAAACATCCAACTGTATAAACCTTTCAAACAACACATATGTGCCAAAATTGTAAACTCATGTGCAAGAAAACAGATGACTGCGCTGTTCATTTTCATTTACTTATTTTTGACAGACATAGATGTTTGAGAGATGGTTCGATATTTGTAAATAAAAGTTATAAGGTTATAAGCATGTGAATATAAAAAAATAAATAAGTAAATAAAAAGAATCCCTATGAGTTTATATAATTATAAACATAGTTAGCAAGCAAAGAACATTAAAAAATTGTAATGCTCTCAATTGGTTCCTCTAGTGTTTAAAAGCTATAAGCGTTTTCACATTCAGTTTTACCCTGCTGTTGCTGTTGGCCTTCAAAGATATTTTTCATTTAAATAAAAATACACATTTGCATTTCCACAAAGAAAATGAAGTGAGAGAGAAGTGCTTTTCAGGAAGTTTGGTCAATTTTTAAGGTAATTTACATTTAATTAAAGAACTGATCCGCTGTGTATTTTTAAGGCTTGGTTGCGTTTATAAAATGCAAAGCAATGTGTGCTCATGCTTTTTTTGTAAAAAAAAAAAATAATAATAATAATAATAAATAAATAAAAAGATAATCCTATTTTTTCATATATCTTTTATACAGCTATAATGAAAACAAATGTAATATTTCCTAGTTCCCCTGAAAGGCCCGTCTTCAAGAGGCTCTGATTGGCCAGCTAACATAATGCACTGTGATTCGAGGATCGGATCCACATCACCAGATAAAGCTTCACGTCTCTACTAGCATGTGCTTTGCCTCTGCTGTGCAAATACTGTCAATCAGTTAAGGTGTTAGCCGTATCAGTTTGATCCTAAATCTGACAGAAAATGAAGAGGACAGCTAATCCT